TGACGTATGAACGTCAAAAGCAAGTTGTAAAATTATTTGTTAATCTTAATTTTGGTTTTATTTACTCTTGAAACAGGACACTTCGGGGGACCCTGCGGAAGTACATCTAGTATATTTGAACCTGATGAGAGAACTTCTCACTGTGAGCCTTCATGTAGCAGATATAGATAACATTTAGGAATACCGCATATATATTCCTCGTACTAAACTATTCTTCATCGTAAATTCTTCAAGCGTTTATCAAGACCGATTTATCGAGTAACCTTTGTACGATACATCACCGGTTAAGCCTTTAACTGTGATAATTGTTGTTGTTGTTCCAAACACCAACAATTACACTTTAGGAGTTATTCAGGATGGCAAACCCTCTATGCCATTGTTGGGAATTTTCAAAGGATAGAAAACGAGATCGAGCCAGATTCGATCCCGAGGTCCTACTAACAGACATATACTGTATACCCATAAGAATAAATTGAATTCAAAACTTGTACAGTTGGTTAATTATTAAGAACTTCTGAATGAAAGTAAAAAAGAATGTGTAATAATAATATATCAACCACACTGTGTCGGCTATATTCATTGCCGACGAGGCTTTTCGCCTAATACCACGACTTAGTAATGCACTATTTATATTAACAGATCACTTGACGACAACTGTTACGGTATGAACTACATTAAATTGGTTTGTAAGTTTTATAAATTGTATTTATGGCACAACACCTTAGAATTAGGGTAAGGATTAGTTATTTATTTTAACACCAGGTATTACTAATTTATATTATTTAATTAACTTGCCAGTTATTCAGAAGAACTTTCTAACCAGGGCATGAGTTCGAATCTTACTGTTTTAAACATTTATATTTTTTTTTAGTAAATAATGAAAAAAGTTATTTTGTGTTATTCTTTTTATTGCAATTAAAATTACTTTGTTTTGTTTTTTCCATAGGTATTGGCATGGACGATACGTTCGTACTTCTTGCCGCTTGGCGTCGCACCGATCTGAAGAAGCCAGTACGAGAGAGGATGGCCGAGACTTATTCAGAAGCTGCCGTCTCTATTACAATAACATCTCTCACCAATTTTCTGTCGTTTTTGATCGGAGTTCTCACGCCATTTCCCGCAGTCCAGATTTTCTGTATCTATACAGCTGTGGCAGTGTTATTCACCTATCTGTGGCATATCACATTTTTCGGGGGGTGCATGGCGATCTGTGGGTATGCTGAGCGACGCAACTTGCATAGCGTTTTCTGTGTTCCAGCAACACCCAGATCTGTTGCAAGTAAGTCTTTTTGTATGTTGTTGTTTACGACTCATAACGTAGGTAAATTCATGATGTTAGAAAAACAGGTATGTAAAACTATACACTGACTTTTATATCCGAGCCTTCATCGGGCAACAATGTACTTTGTTGTAGTGAAAAGTCTGTGTATAATCAACAGATATTTTTGTACGTTGTTGGTCTGCCCATGCGCGGGTTTAGAAACTAAATATTTAGCGTTATTAGCCCTTAGCCTTACCGATAAGCCATGAGGGGGAGGGGGTTGCAAGTAAGTAAACCACAAGGACAGTTTGTTTGTTAAGCAATAAGTTACACAATGAGTTATCTGTTTTATACCCACCACGGGTATCGAAACCCGATTTTTAACTTCATTAGCACTCAGCAGTACTGCTGATCCACGGGGGTGCTAGGAGGACAAAATTTTGGACATTGATCCCTCTTTGGGGTGTTATTGCAGCATCATAGCAACAATAGAAGTCCAAGGATTGAAAGATAAGCATAATAGCTATATAGAAGTCCAAGGTTTGAAAGATAAGCATAATAGCTATATAGAAGTCCAAGGTTTGAAAGATGAACGTAATAGCTATATAGAAGTCCAAGGTTTGAAAGATAAGCATAATAGCTATATAGAAGTCCAAGGTTTGAAAGATGAACGTAATAGCTATAGAGGGAGAAGAACTTTGTTGTATCCAACAGAGTTTTAAGAAATTGTTATGAAGTTATTTTTTCAGCATATAAGAGAAACCCTGTGTTATATACAAAATAAATGTAAGCTTCTCACTTATCAAGAGTAACTTAAAGCTTTACGTCATAAACTAAATATTTCTGTGACTTGTGTCAGTAGTAAGTTCCATCTGCTGCCTTTCCTTTAGTCTCTTAGCTCAAAATTAGGAACGGTAGGTGTAGTTTTGAGCGAAAATTTTGAAGCAATAATAATGACTTTACTAATGGGGGAGGGGATTACTGTTCGTGGACCTGTAGCTTTCAGAAAGTCAGGAATAAGAAATAAGTTTTAAAACTAAAAGAACTTGAAATAGCCTACAATTAGAACTTGCCTTAAAACGGTTTCATCATTACAAAGTTTTAAATAGGCTTATCCCAATATGGTATCACCATAGTTCGTTCGTGTAAAAAAAAGGCCATTTTGGACAAAATCGCTTGTTCAAGAAAATCCGTCAGTTACCATCCAATTAACCAACACTTCTTCAGTGATCAAGACACACGATTTTTATTTTCTATTGTCATCGTTCTTTATCACGTAAAACAAAAAATTCAAACTTAAAGACCCCCTGGTGGCTCACAATAACTTCAGGGCTTATAAAATTCGGTATGCAATCCCTACGGTGGGTAGATAACACGCTGTGAAAGATTGTGCTTAACAATAAACAAACCTTAAACAATATAGTTCCATAAAGAATTAAATACTAGTACTTTGGATAAAGCATCCATTTTGAAAATTAATAAGTTAGACGTCGATTTTTACTGAACACTAGTGCAGATATTCAAAATCCAGCTTTAATGCATTTGTCTCCACCTATCTACTACGCTGCAAGTTATGTTAATGAAAGATAACAACATCATTGTATGATGTTTAAGGATGTATTCGGTAACAAAAAATAGTTCTTAAATTGTGTATATTTACTAAAGGTTAGTAGACTATCACAAATGTTAGACCAACTATTGCACCATGTTTTATAATCCATTTTCATCCAGTTTCAGGAAACAAGAGTGTCCTGTTCCGACTCCTGTGTACTGGTGGAATCAACAAAGATGATCCAGACAACTTGATGGACAACAGGGAGCATACTTTAATGGTCTTCTTTCGAGATTCGCTTGGCAAAGCACTCAGCTACATGCCCACGAAAATATTGATAATAATGTGTTTTCTTGTCTATCTAATCATTGGAATTTGGGGTTGCACGCAGGTTAAAGAAGGCCTCGAGAGGAACAAGCTTTCCCAATACGACTCGTACTCTGTCACTTACTACAGGATGGACGACTTGTACTTCCGGAAGTACCCTTTCCGGATTCAAGTTGTGGTCGCTGACGAGTTAAATTATGCAGATCCCAAAATACAAGAAGCTATGGAGAACATGCTTCAAAAATTCGAAAATGAAGAATTTAGCGCTGGTTCATCACTGACCGAGTCTTGGCTCAGGGCTTACTTACAGTTTCAAAAAGATGGCCGGTCCTTCTTTTTATTGGATGGTTTCAACCTCACTAAGAAGGAAGACTTCATAGAAGCACTCCGAAGCGTGTTTCTTAGATTGCCACAAGTGGGCACATTCAAGAAAGATATACTCTTTAACGAGGATGGAACATCGATTGTATCTTCCAGATTTTTGATCCAAACTAAAGATGTCAGAAATGCAAACCAAGAGAAAGCCATGGTGATTAAACTTCGTGAAATTGCTGACAATTCACCTTTCAACGTGACAGTATACCAACAGTTCTTCATCTTCTGGGATCAGTTTATTCTCGTTCGAGAAACATCTATTCAAGCTATTTCGGTTGCTGCTGCCGTTATGATGGTGATATTGCTCATTTTCATCCCAAAGCCAATATGTGCACTGTGGGTGGCCTTCTCCATTATTTCTATCGAAATAGGGGTTATTGGGTACATGACCCTCTGGAACGTTAACTTGGACTCGATTTCCATGATCAATTTGATCATGTGTATTGGATTCTCTGTCGACTACTCGGCCCATATCTCATACGCTTACATATCCTCAGAGAGGAAGACGGCTGATGATCGGATACGGTCAGCTCTCCATTCCTTAGGAATGCCAATCCTGCAAGGAAGTTTATCGACCATCTTAGGTATCATTTCTCTCTCTTTTGCCCCTTCTTATATTTTTTTAGCTTTCTTTAAAACCATATTTCTCGTTATCTTATTTGGGGCTCTCCACGGCCTTTTGCTTCTTCCGATTCTGCTTTCTATTTCGGATCAGTGTTGCTCAAGTAAGAAGGATGATATTCCGCTATACCATCCACAAAAGTCTGGGAGTTCGGTTGTTCCTATAGCAGGCAACGGTAATATAATTATTCCTCGTCCATCTCACCCTAACATAGCCGTATTAGGAATAACGGACTTGAAAGCCTCGCAACAGACTGGAAAAGATAAATCGGCACAAGAGGATTATGGGAAAAGGTTTCGAGAGACACCTAGTTGTAACATTAGTGCCGACAAAGATCTCGGTATTGGAACTAGTGGGGAAGAGAGCAGTGAAGGCAGCTGGAAGGAGAGGCCCCTGGATTCCAGCTCTCGAGCTCACGGTGACACACAGCTTATAAGGTACCCTTACTTTAGATCTGCTAGCCATGAGGAACATTCCAATCCGGCCTTTGAAGAAGATGAAACTGTACAGATTGAGAGGACTCCTTCGGCCCCATCTTCTCGTAACTCCTCCAGAATGTCTCTGTACCATATAGACAATAAAACTGGACATTTTAATGTGCGACACAGCGAGGAACAGCCAATACGGAGTTCTGGAGAGAGGCTATCCTCCGTATCCAGGACAAGGGACAGCCCACTGTCATCAGGGATTGACCAATCGAAGAGTGCTCATGAGCAACAGAGCCAACGTCCATTTTGACACACAGAAAAACACGTATTTAGACACGAAGAAAAGCTTAGTGACTTTTGTAATAACCAAACACCACATGTTGGCAGTTTGATATTTGAGTGACGAGGAATGACCAATGACAACGAAGCATTGGAGACATTTTTCCTAGTCAGACATATATATATATATCCAATTTGAAAATTGTGACGATCTGTTTCAAACATCCAATCAGCTGTAAGAACGTATAACCAGTGTTAACTTATTTTGCTAAAGCCACGTGACGTCAAGATGTGTGTTTAGTGAAAGTTCACCATTTCATACTGTTTCTCCTATCATTGCTCCTTGATATTCATATCAAATTATAGCATATTAATTTTTTTAATTCTTAAGAAATTGTCATATGGCATTTAGCTGTGCCAAATTCATAAACTAATTAACATATTAATTACATCATTTCGTTCAGAAATGAAAAACAAAAAATCCCCATTTTGTTTCATATAACAGTTCTGTATTAAAATGGCAGGTGGAATAATTGAATATCGAGGTGTTAATCCTTGAATAGCTGTAATAAACGGAACTATTCCCTTCAGAGGCTATTTTCTATCGTATTGAAACAAAAGTGCCCCCCAGTGGCGCAGCGGTATGTCTTCGGACTTACAAAGCTAGAATCCGGGTTTCGATACCCGTGGTGGGCAGATAGCCCATTGTGTAGCTTTGTGCTTAACTTCAAACAAACAATTTAAACAAAAGTATCCTAACTTATTTTAATGTTGAGGATTTGTGGGGGGGGGCGATAGTTTTAATTAATCAACAAAAAAGATAACATTTGAAAAACCTGAGGTAGTAACATTTGCATTTGTGATTTAGGATTAAACATAGGTGAAGGAATCAGAGGGCAGGGCGAGCATCAACCCCCTTTCCCCAAATCTACATTTTAGTAATGTTGAGGCTACTGTACACTGCATGCCTGTGGTTTACCATATATATTATACAAATTACTCCATTTCAAATCAATAAATGCCAGATTTTCTGTGGAGGAGGGAATATCTTTCGATACCCGTAGAATTATCCGTGTTCGGGTTTCAAACCTTGGATGCAAGTTAGCCCCCCCCCCCCGGTTACTATGTTATCGAAACTCTTATTGTTGAATAGCAACAACAAAAGTTGTTACTACTTAAGATAATATTAAATATTTTAATAGTCTCTACTTATTTTTATATATATTATACTTGAAACTCAAAGTTGGGTTCCTTGTGGCAGGTGTTGTTGCATGATTTTTTTTTTTTTTATGAATTAAATACGGTTCAAGACAAATCGTGTCACATCCTGTGTTTTTATTAATTTCATTTACAGGGTTGATTATTTTCAAATGAATTATTGGAAACACTTCTACAGTGGTGTCCTCTTGAATAACTCAAATATTTATTGATAAAACTCTTAACACTGTTAAACGCTATATCTGGAAAGAAGTACACACGACTCAAAAAATAGAGAAACATTGGTACGGAATTTTTATGGACATTATTTTTCATAGTCTAAACTCACACGTCATTAGTGCTTGAATAGTCAGGCTTGAAGTAACTTCATAGTACGTACATGCAGCCCCCCAGTGGCACAGCGGTATGTCTGCGGACTTACAACGCTAGAAACCGGGTTTCGATACCCGTGGTGGGCAGAGCACAGATAGCCCTTGTGTAGCTTTGTGCATAACAAAAAAAACAAACAAACAAACGTACATGCAAAATACGATAAAGAAACAGGTGATGTCTTAAAACGTTTGTTTGTTTGTATTAATACTGAATTTCGTGCAAAAAAAACCAAAAAAACTCGAAAACTATCTGTACTAGCCGATCCTACCTTAGAAGTGATAGACTAAAGGGAAGGTAACTAGTCAACACCACCCACCGTCAACTCTTGGTCTACCCTTTACCAACAAATAGTGCAATTGACCAGACATTATATTGCTCCCACGACTGAAAGGGCGAGCGGTGTTGGAATTGGAACCCACGACCCTCAGACAGTGAGTCGAGTGCTCTAAACATAAAGTTCATACTAGACATCTTAAAACGATATATAAAACACCAGACATCTTAAAACGATATATAAACACCAGACATATTAAACGATATTTAAAACACCAGACATCTTAAACGATATATAAACACCAGACATCTTAAACGATATTTAAACACCAGACATCTTAAAACGATATATAAACACCAGACATCTTAAAACTATATATAAAACACCAGACATCTTAAAACGATATATAAAACACCAGACATATTAAAACGATATATAAGACACCAGACATATTAAAACGATATATAAAACACCAGACATCTTAAAACGATATATAAAACACCAGACATCTTAAAACTATATATAAAACACCAGACATCTTAAAACGATATATAAAACACCAGACATCTTAAAACGATATATAAAACACCAGACATCTTAAAACGATATATAAAACACCAGACATCTTAAAACGAATGAGTGATTTCTTGTTAATCGGGTGGTAATTGTACAGGGCTGTGTATCAGAGAGTCCAAGGTTCGATCCGCAGTATACCGCTGAACATGCTATAGGGACGTAATAAATGTAACAGTCAGCCAAACCTGCTATTCGGCAAAAAGTAACAGGTGCTAGTGACTGGTTTTCTTTCTATGACTAAAAGTCCTAAATTATGGATGTCTGTTACTTTAATTAATTTACGAGTCTAAGTTCTAGCCGTTTAACTCATTGGTCAGATAAAGAGCCAATCAGGTTGGAAATATCTCATGTTAAAAACCAATCATATTTTACATTATGCGTAGTTAGAGAGGTGTAATACGCTGAAAACAAAAGCATATTTAAGACATTTTTTCTACCCTTTCGATGAATCTGTTAATGTGAAGCTATAATATGTTATTCCTTCATAATTTATGTGTGTTTAGTAGAACAGCAAAGGTTTACCAGACTGTAAAACTGTATTATTTGACAAGAAAGATATCCTAAATGAATATCAGTACTATAAAAATAGGTATTCAAAAGCTCTGTTATATTCATAACGTTCTCCTATCCACGTGATTGGGCGTGGCCAAGGATTTAGATTCTTCAGACTGTTAATACACGTTCTCCTATTCACGTGATTGGGCGTGGCCAAGAATTTAGATTCTTCAGACTGTTAATACACTTATACTCGTTCTCCTATCCACGTGATTGGGCGTGGCCAGGGATTTAGATTCTTCAGACTGTTAATACACTTATCCACGTGATTAGGCGTGGCCAAGGATATAGATTCTTCAGACTGTTAATACACGTTCTCCTATCCAAGTGATTGGGCGTGGCCAAGGATTTAGATTCTTCAGACTGTTAATACGAGGGTTCATGATTCGCTATTCCATTGATTTTGGTCTATGATAGTGACTAGCCGATTAGATAAGATTAATTATTATGTTATTTTCAAAATCAGGGTCAGCTATGTACAGATAAGCGAAAATTCTCAGCAAACTTACAATCTCCTAGACATTTCAAGGTGAATGAAAAACGTATATTAATATATAGAGTGACTTGATATTCACTCACTATTAGATGTACCAGAAATTACTTTTATCTTTTTTCTAACTTATACTAAAAATAAACTGGTGTTTGTGACTAGCTTGTTTCTGATGTACGATCTGTTTCAAACTTTCTAAATACAAAGGTTATTAATTACCAGAGAATATGTAGATAAACCCACCTAGTATTCCTGCCTACGTTACTACAACTACAGATGTTAATGTTAAACTACATCTAGTATTCCTGCCTACGTTACTACAACTACAGATATTAATGTTAAACTACATCTAGTATTCCTGCCTACGTTACTACAACTACAGATATTAATGTTAAACTACATCTA